GCTGTTGTTTCCTTTTTTTTTTTTTTCTGCAACACCACCCCCAGGACTTTGGGAGACAAAACCCTGAAAACAGAGGCAAGGGGTTAAATTAGGAGCCTGAAACCTCACTTGTAGAAACTCCCGCAGGAATTTTGGAGGCAGCATCATGGCTCACCGTGCAACTTGTACAGCACCCTTGGGAATCGTGGACGGCGGAGTCGAGGAACATCAGGACATTTTCCTGAGAACACCCCGAGGGCTTTACCAAGACAGAGGTGATGTTACTGCCGTGTAGCTGCAGGTGAAGAGCCGGGTGTGTGGCCACATCTCTGGCTGGCTGCACGGAGTACAGCTGCAGTCAGTGCAGCTACACAAGTGTGAGATGAGGCCGCTGCATTTCGGGGGTGAGTCCCCACCCAGGGATAAGTGCCGTGCTGCTTGACGTGCCTCCTAGCGTGGTCGGGGATAACACAGCCTGCTGGCACTCTTTTTTTTTAATTTTATATTTTGAAGACTAGCCTCATATGTTTAAGAACTTCCTTGCAAGCAAATACTGCCCTTTGCAGCTGCTTTTTTTTTTTTTTTTTTTAAACCGCATTAGAGAAGAAATCTAAATTTAGGGGTCAGCATATCCTGGCAGCTTCCAGTTCTCACCTGCAGCATGCTGCTGATGGCTGCGTGTCGGTCGTGTCATCTGCTGAGCTCCACGGCTGCCGTGCCCTCTGGGAGAGAAATGGGACGGTGAAGCATCTTGGGGAAACAGCCAGGCCTAAATTATCCCTGGAGTAGCGCCCAGGTCATCCCTGCAGCTCCTGGGTTTGCTTTTTTTTTCCTGTCGTGTTTTGGTTGCTTAAGAAAATTGGGGATTTAAGGAGTCTGGGGAAGATGAGCGAGAAGTTGTCTCTGGACTTACCTACGCAGTGCTCTGTGCTCCTACTGGAAAGCTGTCCAAGGAGCTGAAAATAAAGAAGTTTGAACAACTGTACTGAAGATTAACATGATTTGTTTTCAGCTCAGAAGAGCCTCTGGTTGTCCCAGGATTCCCCCCTGTATTGCCCTGTAGGTATGCAAGGAGAGCTTTCGTTGCTGTGCCCTTCAGGGTGTACGCAGGACAGTCTGAGCTCATCCTTTCCCCTTGGGAAGCCAGTAAATGGCCAGGAACAAATAAAACCAACCGGAGAGCTGCTGGATTACAGCAGGAGGCTCTCGGTAACTGCTGAGAGCACCCAGTGACCGAGCTGTCCCCGGGGAAAAGCAGCCCCTCGAGGGGCTGGGGGTGCCGCTGCCTGTCCTCTGCCAGCCTGAGCCGTGGGGAGGAGCTGTGGGCATGACTCAGGGCATGGTGTTGTGCTTATCAACCTGCTTTTATGGATGTTGCTCATCGTGTTGTAGAGGTGAGTAAGCAGTCGTGGATTTCTCTCAGTTGTCTTAACTCTGTCCCAGCCTGGCCCGGTGCAATAACCTAAAAGTCTCTGTGGTGGTTTGAACTTTGGATCGAATTTCCAAATGCTAGCAGAGCAGGAAGCTTAAGTGTTTGTCTAAGTTAAATAAACAGTAATATATATATTGAGATATATAAACACATAAATTTCAGGGAAAATACATGTAGAATAAACCTAAAAGGCATTAAGGACCAGCGCCTGTCTTGCTTTATTTCTCAGCCTAACTTCCATATGGGTAGCACAAAGCCTGTTGCGTGTTCCCTTCATTCATGCCGAGTTCCCCTGCCTGCAGCGAGCCAGCAGCTCTGTTTTTGGTGCCTGTTGTGTAAATTAAGCGTCAGCTATAAAAGGAGAGACGGAGCTATGAGAAGCTACCTTGCACGCCGCTTTCACAGCCTCGTACGGACTTTGTACTTGGAGTATGGAGGAAGCCACTGCTGTATAACAGAGGTAAACTCCAGAGCAGGTGTTGGCATGACACTAAACATAGAAATGAGCGTAGGAGAGCTGAAACAGGCGGTTATAAATGGAGAACCGAGATGCCTCGTGCCTCTGCAGCTCCTCATCATGTCGCTGTACCTTTACAGCTGCAGGCTGCGAGGAGGTGGCCGCTGGCTGGTGGTGTGGTGCCCAGGAGGCCAGGCAGCCTTCGGCTGTGATATAAATACCGAGGAATGTTGGTACACGGAGGAAAAGAGTGGTGAGAGGGGAAATCCGACAGAAGTTGGGCCGGGGCATGCACCTCCTGAAATTAGTGCTCTGCTGCTGGAAAAAGGGATGTAAGGCTACAAAAATAAGCGAGACGTCCTGTTTGGATTGTAACTCGGAGCGAGGAGCTTAGGGGTGAGGTGGTTTTTTTTGAATTCCTATATATGAGAGAATTCAGAAAATGGGTTTTGAAAATTATTTCACCTTCTGGCGGGTTGTGGCAGGAACCGAGGGCCACAGGGATTTTTTCTGAAGCAGCCCCAAGTTGCCTCCCACTCCAGGGAGGGAAGGCAGGATAAAATAAGGTTGTATGCGATCTGCTACAGGGCCGATCCCTTCAGCTTTTTTCTCTCAGCCTTTTTATAGGATTAGGTTGTAAAAGTTGGCAAAGAGAACTCTTACGCTGCTCCGTGCTGCAGAAAATAACTGCATGCACGTAACCACGAGCCGTGAAACGTACCAAGACTTGGAAGCTTGAGTTTTCTAGTCCCTGAAATGATAACTTCACAAAGGGTAAATGGTATCTGTTACGTTGCATTCGTATACTTATCCTGTATTTTCATCAGAGGATAAAGAGGAATAGAAATAATATGTTGTGGACAAGAAATCAGCTGTTAGCACTTTGAGACAGAAAATCCATATGGATTTTTTCCCCCCTGTGGAAATTGATTTCTTAATGAATAAGAGAGCTGCTGCTATTTGTATTTCGCCCAGGAACAAACCAAGCAGTGCAGTTCAGCTGCCCCTGTGCTCACGGAGAAGCATTTTGAACGCTGCGCTCGCTTTTCCTTAAAGCTTTTCTCAAACACAGATCCTCCCCCGGGGGAGAGGGGCTTTGAAAACTCGGTTGGTTTTATTCGGCGGTTTTTAATCAATTTGTGTCTTGTCTCAGAAACAAGTTTTCCTTGTTTCGTTTTCTTCACATCTGCGGAGGAGGCAGCATCAGCCTGCTCAAACAGGAAACCAGCCACCAGAAGCTGCTTTTTATAGGCACGGGGCTCTTCTGGGCTTCAGAAACACTCTAGAGCAAGCTGAAATCGAGTCCCTGAAGTGTTCCACATTGAGGACGATTTAGGACAACGCTGGGAAATGACGATTTGAAGATGTCTTGAGAGTGCTCAAGTGTTTGGGTTTGTTAGTTACGAGCAGCGCTCGCTTACAGAGCTCGCCTTAGGTCTGTGATATTGAAATTGTGAGCGCACACCAGGAGAACTTAATCACCTCAGTAAATCTTCTTACTTTCTGAAAGATCAAACCCGTGCCTTTGAAGTTGTGAACCATCATCATGTACCTTAAATGTGGAGACTCCTTTACCTTTTGAAGGTGGGAAGAACAAATCGGTCAGGGCTCAGTGGGAGGCTCATTCCCATTTTGTGTCCCTGTGTAGAAAATGTCTCACATCTCCAACAAGTGTGCTGACTTCATTTTACACAAAAATGCATAAAACTTCAATTTTAAACTGTTGCATTCGGACACACACACAGTTTTTAGCAGCCTGGCATCACCCTGAAGCTGTGGGGTCTGTAGGTTTTTGCCAGTTAGTGGGCTTAGAAGTGGTTAACAGAAATTGTTGCAGTCGTGTGCTGGAATCGTGACAACCCCAAATGATTTCTCAAATTCCTGAAGCACAATTTGAATCGTAGTCAAATTCTAGCTGGTGATACAAAGCACGGGCAAGTAAGTGCAAGCAGATCTCTACATACTTGTATATCTGATGCCCAGAAAGAAGTACATAAAGTGTCTATCTGCCAAAAATGAGCGCTGCACAATGTGTTTAACAGTGTGTCGTGTCCTACTGTGGTATCTCAGTAGCCATGTGCAGATAGTTATCGAGTGTCTGCCTCGTTATGAGTGCATGCAACTATTTAAATAAAATGAAGGAAATAATAAAAGTAAATTTCAATAAATATTAAACTTCCATGTTACACCAAGGAAGCTGAAAGATTTTATGAAAAGGGTCTGAAGTGCTTACACCTTTTATGTCTTGAGTTAATATTTTTGGGTGTGGGGCATTTATTTTTAGCAAAATGTAAAGACAACTGAGTTGTTATAGTCCTGCTCTAGTAAAGATTGGCATCAGCCTGATTTTATTATTTAAATGGTGACTTCTTGGCTTTTCTGTATGAGTATGGGAATCTACTTCTGGCCTTAGAGCTGGCTCTTAAGGTAAAATGACTGTCACTCAAGATAAAAAAGCAAAGGGGGAAGGAGAAGTGGAGCCATAAAAGGCGAAGCAGGCAAAATGGGAATAAGTTAGCCCCACGTGGATATTGAGAATTTACTTTTGGACTAGCAAATGTGTTCATGTCTCTGCTGCACACAAAGGGTCATTTTCACTGCATAATGCGTAAGGATGAAAAATTGTCTGTTTATCCCATTGCTAACCATGAAGCTTCTTTTGTAGGAGAAAAGAGAAATGTGAACAGTGTTTTTAAAAAGCCCTTTTCTTGAACTTACTTAAGCAAATGTGAAAAACCATTTTGGACAGGAGAGCTGCTGACAAAGATCCTTTCTTGACCATGAAAGGCAATGTCAAAGGAGGAAGTGTAAACCTAACGTTATCTCAGCTTTGTGCAAATTGTGAAGGAGAATCTGCGATTATTCTTCAGTGATTTTTGTAAAAATGAGTCTTAGTGCTCTTTTATTTACTGCTTAGATAGCCTGAGTGCATATTTCAAGGAAGTAAGAATGACCCGTCTAAAAATCCAGTGCTGGTTTTGGGAGGAAACAGCCACACTTCACTTACTCTTCCGCAGAAACTTCTTTAAGCTGCTAGCAGAAACTGCTCAAAAAATAGTGGGTGGGCACAGGGCAGTTGTAAGATCTGTAATGAGGAACCTCATATAACTTGTATGCTTTTTTGTCCTGCAGTGTGATGTTCAGGGTCAGAAATGCCTTATGTGGATCGTCAGAATCGCATCTGTGGTTTCCTAGATATTGAAGAAAATGAGAATAGCGGGAAATTTCTGCGGCGGTACTTCATCCTGGACACGAGAGAAGACAGCCTGGTGTGGTACATGGATAACCCACAGGTGAGATGTTCTTGGCAACAGTTGTTTGGCCTCTGGCCATTTCAACTTTTTTTTCCTTCAGTAAATTTGTTAAAAATCTGAAGAGGGGGGCTTAGTATTAGTTTTATGGACCTGGAAACATTTAAAAAAAAAAAAAAAAAAGTGAAATCATGTAAATCAGTGTTCTTAGAAACAGTAAAACATGCATACAGTAAAACATAAAAAACAACTTGAATGTCAGTGAGTTGCCAGTGTATGGGAATCTAAGTATTGACAGGAGACTTGGAGATCAGATGGGAACTCAAATTTGATACCACACTTGAATCAGTGACTAGTTTTCTAGCATGATATAGTACATTTTATTTCTCTCAAATGTCTTGAATGTGCATTGCAGGTTCTCGCAGGCACTAGGTAGTACTGTACTGTGTAACCAGGTGAGCCAAATCATGTACTAGTTTCACTGTGCAGGTCTTTTATTTCACCTCTAAGCCCATTTGGGAGTTGTGTAGTGTTCCTTGCAGTGCTTGGGTCAGTTAGCTCTTTGTTACTTTACCTCCACAGAATCAGTCACTGAAAAGCAAATTCTAATGATGCTTGCAATTGTGTTGCAGTGTGAATGCTATATGAAGGAGGAAAGCTTTTATCCATCATGGCTGAGAGCATCCTTCATCTAAAAGTTATTTTCACAATGTATGCACATCGGTGTTCTGTAGTGTAGGGGAGAGCAGATAATCCTTTAGGGTTTGGGTACTGAAGCAGTGACAGCAAAGGATCTAGGTCAGCTGACAGCAGTCTGCCAGAAGAATATTTGGACACCATTCTGTCAGGAAGAACGAGTTAAAAGGCAACAGAAGCCCAGTGTTCAGAGAAACAAGTGGAAAAGAAAATAAGATTGCGGCTTAATGAATGTGACATGTGACCAAATCATTCGGAAGCTCTTATTGAGGAGAAAAAAAAATAACTTCTGGAAATAAGGAGATATTTCAAATGTTTTATCACGATGAGTTAAAAGAAGCAATTCCTTTTTTCAGTTTCTTCTGTGACATATATCTAGGATGTGGTTAAAAGCTTGATCTGCTGCAGAAATTGCAGTTAGAGCCACTTTGTGGAGGCCTTTCTTAATCTTTAAAGCGGTGCAGCCCTTGATATAGGACGAGTCTATGGTGTATGCAGAAATTCAGCGGGCTTCTTGTTCCTGGTAGAGCTGCTCTATTTGTATCTGTGAAAATCAGTTCAGCTGCTCAAAGAATCAGTGCTGTTAAGTCAGCATTGTGATGTAAAAACAACAGAGGAGTCCTATTTGGATTGTAAATATACATAGACTTGCCTGCAACTTTAGGAAGTATGGTGATCTTTACATTTTACCTTGTTTAACTTTGCATAGTTCTTCTAGTTATATAGAAAGTGTCCTTGCTTTCTGGCCAGTAGCTTTAATATTAAAAAATCAGAGTCTGTTAATGTTTTTGAAAATACGTGAGGCAGTCTTTGAAGTGTGTGACATAGATGAGTGTCACTTCGTGTCCCTTCCGCCTGCCCAGGTCAAAACACATAAGACGCCAACATCTGTTGAGGAAAAAGTATTCTTTCCGGATTTCCTGGATGCAGACCTGCAAGAATCCTTTTTCCTCTAGTAAAATACATAAACCTCTGAAACAATTACTACTTGTATTGTTTCTAGCAGTCGTTCTGTTTTTAGTTGATTAACAGATGTGTGTATAATAAACAAGGAGTTTAGATCCTGTTGCAGGCGTACATTGTGTATTGTCTATAAAAACTTGCAGGGCTTTGTTTTTGTTTGTCAAATTGAATTTGTTTTTTGTGCATAAACACTGAATGTGAATGAGAATAACTCAGCTTCACCTTGTAACACTGATTTGTTTCAGAATCTTCCCTCTGGATCTCCACCTGTTGGAGTTATTAAACTTACCTATATTTCAAAGGTAAGATACATAAGGCACTGATTGCTAAATGTTGGTGGTAACTACCAAGAGATGCTTATAAATGCCTCAACTTTGGACAATTTTAAATTCTTCTTATGTAGGGCATGGCAAGCTTTTTTGCTTGTGTGCCAGTCCTGAATTTTAGTGAAGTGTTACAAATGCTCGAGTAGTACCAGATTAAAATCAAAGCAGACAACTTAACTGTGTTGTATGGGTTTGTTTTCTGAGTTGAAAGGGCAGCTACTTACTGCATAGAATTAATGTTTCTGATCGGTGTATTTCAGTTCTTTATGAGCATTTGAATTCCAATTAGTGTTGGAGAAAAGATAGGGCGTTTATGTAAGTCATTGGGAGTGATAGTTTGCAAATGACTTTTCTATAAATTTCTCTGCACCATTAAAATACTTAGTTCTTTATACTCTCTGTACATTCAGTTTCAAATACTTGTAAAGGAAAATGGAGAAGTAAGTCTCTGTGGTTAAACTTGCAGCAGATACTGCATTGATAAATAAGTAGAGAAAAACAATTGACCTTCTGCTTCAATCCCCTTTTCTTTGTACCTTTTCTTTGTGTCAGCTCTCTTGTTCTCATACTTAATCTCCCCATCTTCCATCCTGTATTTTTCATTCCTGTAAAGCTATCAGTGATGCTGGTTGTATCACGAGTACAGAAATGCCTGATGTGCTCATGTCCTTCCTCATTTCTTTCTCACACTACTTAATTTGACCAAAACCTCACATTTGTCATCTTAAGAAATGTGAAATCTTGTATCTCACTTCTAATGGACACAAGGGTGGTACAAGGGCACCTATGTGCCCTTGGGCACCTAGGCAAGCAGCTCAGTGTGCCAAGGCTCCACCAAACTGTGACAGTGTGGTTGTGCTGGCATTTGGGCCATTGAATAAAACACATCCAGCTGCAGGATGAGTCAGGACTGCTGAAACTGGCATTGCTAGACAATATCTTTATGCCCAGCCCTGTGCCACATTGAATAGTATGACAAAAGCTACTCATGAGTCCTCTTCCACGTGTCTGACTTTGCATAGTTCTTCTAGTTATGTGTCCTTGGTCTCTGGCCAAGGAACGATTTTGAAGCAAGAGACTGCTTAGCCTTCTCTTCCCCCCTCACTAGAGGCACTCTGTAATGTGAAAATAGCAGTCCCTCTCTCCTTTCCCCCTCCTTCCCCAGCATCCCAGTGGTTTAGAGAATCTCTGAAGAAAAGTTGCTATTACTATGGTAAGGAGCCAAAATATAAGTGGTGCCCTTGAGAGTACTAAAATGTCCTTGAATTTTTAGTTCGGTTGAGAGATGGAAGTTCAAAGTGAAAGCAGAAGCGTTATGTTTACAGATTTTCAATGTTTTGTCTGAGATTTTTCCCTTAATTAGGATGGTAATGAATCCTTAAACTTAAGGAATAGGAGCATATAGCCTAAGCTGCCTCCTTAACATAGGATGTGCATCTTGAACTGAATTTTATAGTGTTTTTCTTTATATATCATTACACTTAATGAGCTACCTGATGCTGCTCATCCTCAAATTCAGCTCTTTAAAGGAGAAAATTGTGATGTTTGATGTATGTTTTGTGTACACAGTAATATTTACGATGTTAATTTTCCTCCTAGGTTAGCGATGCAACTAAGCTAAGGCCAAAGGCAGAGTTCTGTTTTGGTAAGTTCTTGTGAGCAGCGTGCATGCCAACTGTGTTCTTCAGAAACCTGAAACAGAGATGTTCTGCAATTCTAGTACAAGATGCAGCTGGTGGTGTTTTTCAGAAATAACTTGTGTTCACTGTTTCCTCTTTAATAAGGGAGTAATGTTGGCTTCTTCGTGAGGTGTTTTTATGGCTTTTTCATGCTACAGCTTAACGAGGAGTAGGTGAGAGGGTTGTTTTTCAGATGTTTGAAGTTTCTGAGGCAATAATAAGCTAATTAAAAGCGATGGGTGTTTTCAGAGATGTGGCATGCCTGTCAGCTATGGAGATAAGTAATTTAACTATTTTAATCTGTATTGCTCATAAAACGGTTTAATTGATCTAAAACTACTGTCGTGCCTGCCAATGCTCTTACATCAAGTTTCAGCCTATAGCGCTGCACTGAAGAAATAATTTGCTTGGGGTACCTTCTAGGTTCATTGATGTTTAAGCTTGTTGCAACTTGGGTAAAGCTTTGTCTGCTCGTAAGTCCCTTTTTATTAGATTTTTCATATTTATAAGTCACTTGTCTAGAACTTAGCATAATTCCAGAATTTCATGACAGGCAACTTGCACTCACAAAAGTGCACACACAGCCTGGAATCAGCCGCTGCTCCGTTCATGAATAACTGTTCCTTATGGCTGCCTTCCCGTCAGCATTATCTCAGCTGAAGGTGCTGAGAACGCCTGCGGGGTTGGAGGCAGCTCGCTGAGGTGCACCTCGCCGTGGGGAGTGTTTCACAGGCCAGGGGAAGGCAGCTCTGCTTGAACTGGGCAGATCCACAGCAGGCTGGCTTGTGCTGTGAATCGTGCCATGAGTGATTTTGGCCTTGGAGAAGATTGTCTGCTCTGCACTGGATTTCTGTGCTGAGCTAGTGAAACACTTGGTAATCACCATGGGTGTCAAGGCAGCCAGTGATTCCTCTGCATATGGACACCCGTTTATCCTCATCAGCTGTAGGCCAGCTCGAAGAAGCTGTGATTGTCCAAGATGCTGGCTTCCAGCTCGTGATTTTTTGGATCTATTAAATGATCTTTGATACTCAGAAGGAAAAATCATGGGTATTCTTTTCATTTAAATATTAGGAGTTGTTACACCTACCTGCCAACTCATTTATACAGTTCTGTATTTAAATTAATATTTGCATCTAATAAAATTTGCTTTATACATACATCTGTTTTAATATACATCCACTTTGTGGGGAGAGGGAGCTCAGGGAGACTGACTTAATGGAAGAGAAAAGTATTTGTTCCTAGCATGTATTTGCTTTTAGCAATGACTTGAGCTGTTATGTTATAGGTAGGGCAGCAAATGCTTCGAAGTTCTGGGAGGATTTTGTTAAAATTCACCTTAAAACTAATTTCAGAATAGGTTTGTGAGATACCTAATCAGGATTATTTTGACACAAAGGAAATATGTTTGTCCTTTTTGGATAAAGGACTGCTAGGTGTTGCTAGGTAGAAAAAAATGTGCTTTCACTACTAAGTCACTAAACTAAAATTTATTCTGTTGTGGCAGTCTTAAAGATGCTTGGTCCAGAGCATCATGTGTTTACAAATCAATATTGATTTTCCAGAAATTAAGAATAAAAATCTCTGATTGTCATCACGTTAATGTGTATCCTGCAAAGGTTAATATATAGTGGTCAGAGGACTAGGAAGAGAAACTTCAGAAATCCCTGATTATAAGCCTTGATGCTTAGGGAAGTTGAGACTGAGAAAAAGAAATCTGGGAGAAAATTCTGATTAAAACTCAAGGGTTTATTTCTATGCAATAAAAATATCTTAAACTCTATATGCTGCAGATTAGAGCTTAAAATAAAAAAGGGAAGGGGGATTAAGGTGGTATTGTTCTGGCTTTTATGAATGAAGGTAGCTTCTCAAGTGTGTGTGCATCTTTAGATGACTTTCTAAAAATAAAGGAAGCACAGAGCTTAAATACTCAGTGGATTTTCTATCTGAAATTGTTCTTACGGTGTAAAGTTTGCTCTTAAATCTCAATGTTTTTAATTTTCATATTTTTTAACAGTTATGAATGCAGGGATGAGAAAATACTTCCTACAAGCCAATGATCAGCAAGACCTTGTTGAATGGGTAAATGTTCTGAACAAAGCTACCAAAATCACAGTAAGTCATTTCGCTGATATTTGGCAGTGCTTTCAAATGTTGACTTTCAAGGTGTATTATGTTTCCAGTTCTTCTACTAGAGTTGTCATTTCATCTCTATAAAATGTTTTATTTAGTCTCCAAGACTTGAAGGAGCTGTACAGAGCCTCCCCCAGACTTGAGTTCATTTTAGTTTTTGCTTTTGGAATTGGACAAAAGTGTGTTTTCAACTTTATTACAGCATCCTCAGTCTTTGTGCCACGTATTGGAATATGAATGAAAATTTCATACTGGTCAGAAATGCTGTTTTAAAAAAAATCTTGATACCATAGCACTGTGTTCATGGCCTTGCTGCGAGAGCTGCACAAGGTAGTGGGGAGTCTCCTTTCTACAGCACTTCCTTACTGAAAGGAAGTGAGAAATAACTACAAATTAGACGTGCTTCTTGAAGATCAGGTATAACACTTAGGGCAAAGTTAGGAATTAATTTTGAGCGTTCAGTACACCTGGTGACTTAGCTTAGATAGCACCGGTTTTATTCTGAGGACTAAAGCTTAGTCATTGCAATGTATTTTCATGTAAATTGTTTCTAGCCTTTTACAATTTAAGAACATTTCTGAAATCCTGCTGAAAACAAATTAACAATGCTTGAATAATGCTTAGAATTTTTTTCTTTTTCTATAAAACCTTACATTGGTTATCATGTTTGACTTTGAGGTACCAAAGCAGTCCGATCCTCTGTGTCAAATGGATAATGCAAACCGTCAAGCTGAAAGCCCAGGTGGAAAGAAGCAAGTGTCTTACAGGACAGAAATTGTTGGTGGTGTTCCTATCATTACGCCTACCCAGGTAATAATTTCAAGCCAAGAGGGGTGTTATTTGTTAGAGGGAGCTTTGTTATTTGATAGGTGAGAATAGGTCGTGTGTCATAAGGCAGCAGTCAGCTTCTAATCTTGCTCAGAGGACTGACATTTTGATGCACACCTTTTAGGGTTACTGAGTGACTTTTTGAGGATTTTATTCCCTTTATACAAGATTACAAAGAATTATACAGGGCTATAAATAACTATGCGAGTGGGCTGGTGCTCTTCAGTGTGCAAAAGAAATAACTAAAGGAGGATATAAGAGGTCTACAAAGTAACAATTGGCAGAAGTAGATGGCATGTGTAATGTATGAGAGTTATGAACTCCTTAACAAAGCTAGTAGTGGAACAAAGGGATGGAGGAGTTCCTTCAGTGAGCAGTAAAATGTGAGATTCTTCTTGCCAAGAGATTACATGGATACCAGAAACTTTGAGTTCAAGAGATTAAGCAGGCTTATGGAAGAAGCAGTCATGTGGTGTTAAACCTACAAAGCTATATCTGTTTCTGGAAGTTCCCGGAGCTGAAAATAGCTGGAGGTTGGATTAATGTCATGTGAATGACATGTAAACACCTGAGTTCTGTGCTGCGTGGTCCTAGAAATTTTTTTGTTGTTGCCATTTCTAGTATTTTGCCTGTGTGTATAGTTAATATTTTGTTTTTGTCTGACACTCTTCAACCTGAGTGCCTGTCAGTATTGCTTTAGAAAACTCACACTTTCTTACTGTAACTTCTAAATGAACTTTGCAAGTTCTCAACCAGAGCCCTTAGAGCCTCAACAGTTGTCTCTCAAAATCAGTTGAAATGTTTGGTCCTTTCAAAACAAAGCAGAAATAGGATTATGTGGGATAATACAAGTATTTCCTGAGTAGTCATAGGATGCTTATTCTCTGACCTTTAGAAAACCTGAAAATATTCTGAGCTTTCCTTTTTTTTTCCTAGAAAGAAGAAGTCAATGAGTGCAGTGAAGGTGCTGATAGGAATTATCTGAAACGATCACAAAGTCACCTTCCTTACTTTACTGCTAAACATCCTCCAGATAATGCTATTATCAAAGCTGGCTACTGTGTTAAACAAGGAGCAGTGGTAAGTACTTGAGATCAGTGGGTTTCATTAATTTTTAATGTTTCTATAGGGTATTTGTGTTGCTGAGTTGCTATGATTTCAGTGGAGGTTATTGCAAGAAAGATTAAAACTTTTGGAAGCTAATATTCTATTGCAACAGTTTTTCAATTCTCCTTCCCTAAAGAATTGGGCAGAGACTTGCTGAATTACTTTCCAGACTATGCGTATAAAATATTTTTTCTTTTAACAGATGAAGAACTGGAAGAGAAGATACTTTCAGTTGGATGAAAACACAATAGGATATTTTAAGTCTGAACTGGTAAGTTTCCAATTGCTTGTTGTTTACCAGTGATACTTACAAGAAAATCTAAACTACACTTAAATTCAAAAAACGTGGTGTTCTGCTCCTGAAACTCTTTGCTTTGTCCTGTAATGACTCTTCATGGTTGGGAAGAAGAAAAAACTTTTAGGGTGGTTTTTAACTTGGACTTAAGTCTTCTCTTTGTGAATCTGTGAGTAGGGCGTTGAATGACAGTAGGGTGTATTCTGTAATCACGTTAATTTTTTTTTAGTACTTTATGTTACTTTGTACTTGCATATACTTTGTTCTTGAAACAACTGATCATTATAGGGTGCTTATCATGCAAATGATGGGATCTTTCCCATGGCAGCTAAGACGTGTAAAGAATTCTGCTGTTCAGAGGCAATGCTTACAGAGTTTGTTTGGGTTTCATCTTTATTCCCCACTCATAGCTCTTGAACCTCTTGATGAATTTTGACCAAATGTTAAGTGCCTTCAGGGTTCATTTGAAAATAAAGTGGGAGGTACTGGAGATAGCGTGGAATTCCTTCCAACAGAAAGCAGGCCAACAAACAGGAGAAAATCTGTACACGAGACATGAAACCTTAGTGTTCCAAGTCAGGTAGATTGAGTTTACAGGCTAAATGTAAGAAGAAAAATGTCAAGAAGCTGAGTTTTAGGCTATTTCTGGAAAAAATCTTTTTGGAAGTGTGAAGTCTTTGCCTTGTAGGAAATAAGGAAGTACAACAGCAGCAGGAATTTGATCGTGTTGTTGTTAAGCAGTCAGCATAATGCAATTCTGACATGTTGCCTATAATAAAACTTTGATTTTAATTGATTTTTTTTAAAAATCATACAACCTGAGTGCAGATTACACACTAATAAATTCCAACTCTGCAAAGAATTGCACCGTGAGAGTCTGCTATAGAAATATTAAAAATGCATATGCTTTTAGTGTTTCTTTCATCATACTCCTTTCCAGTTTAACTATTTGAAGAATTGAAATGAAAAATTTAAGATCTTGTAGCGTCTTCTATTCTCCGTGCTAATATCCTCTTGCTATAGTGTGCTCTTACAAAACAACAAAACTATCAAAAGAACTCCACTTTCAAAAATTACAAACTTTTTTTCTTTTAAGGATCTGTTCTTTTCAGTTTGAGGAAGAGCCCATGTCTGTCCTCTGGTGGATTATAGTGTAGTATACGCAGTATTAGTCTAGGAAAATAATTTCTGAGCTGAGGTCTGCTAAGCCTGTGACTTTCCCAGAATGTTCAGCTCTGTGGTTTTCCCTTAAACATATCTGTATTGCCGGGGAAGTCTTGCAGCTCATGTTTGATGTATTACTTTGAAAACTGTTGTAAGGGATGGGTGAACCTGAGAAGACTGAAGGATGAAGAAAGAAGGGCAAAATAACTGAGGATATAGATTTTAAAACTGTTCTATGCTATAGAAACAAATGATCAGAACTGACATTTGAGAATTGTTTTATTTGGGTGAAATTCACTGTTCACTATACTAAAATAACTCTTTTAAGTATATATACTAGAAATTGTAATTTAGAGGAAGTCATTCCATAGTTGGCAGCTTTTGTTTGTTTGCAAGCTGAAGTAGTCCATTGTAACATTGCTTAAAGAACACAATAGGAGATGAAACCAGTTTTTTTTTACTGCAATAACTGCAATAGCCACATGAAAATAATAGTGGAAATACATTTTTTTCAAGAAATCAAATTAACCTATGTGTAATATTACTTTGTTATGGCAAAAATTGAACACACTCACTTGTTTTCCTACTGTATGAAGCTTTGGCAGTATTGTAACACTTGTGTTTGGTGCAGTAATAGAATTTTCAGGTGCTTTAAGAATACTTTCTTCTATAGGTTTTGTTATGTTTTCCTTCTATGGGTAGTACAATTGAAAATAATAGAAATACTCCTAAAGCTGTATCATGCTGTACAATGACTAAAGCATTTCTTTTCATGGCATTTCATTGTATGTTAATATAGTGAAAGTCCTACTGAAATAATCTGCTGTTTGTTTTTCCCCTTACCTCTTTGTTTGACATCCTCTTCACTGCAAGTGCCATGGTTGGTTTACTACTAAAATAAATAAATAAATCTTGGTTGACATCATGCTTTGCAGGTGTGACTGTCCTCATTTATGCAGGTCTGCTGCAATAGTCTGACCTGATTTTTGGCTTTTTGACTATATTCTAGTTGTTAGATATACTCTGCTAAAGTATTTTTACCTTTTATTTTCCTAGGAAAAGGAACCTCTCAGGGTTATACCACTTAAAGAGGTCCATAAAGTTCAGGAATGCAAGCAAAGGTGAGGAGAGAAGCACTGAAAAATCAAGGGACTTGACACACTTCATTATCATGACTAGACTGCTTGGTGGAAACAGTGGAGAGCTTTTTAATTATTTCTGTTGACTTATGAATGTGGTACTTAAACAGACTACTATTTAGGAATAATACTTTGAAAGTCAAAACAAAAATATAAATGTGAAGTTTTGCAGAAATCTGACTAGAATAATAAATATTTAAACTTAATATAATATGTTTGAGAGTGTTCTAACTAAAAATAACAAGTCACACTAATTACTAAAGAACCTTAAGACTAAATTGAGTATGAGGTGCTGTTCTTTTTCCACTTGGCACTTGCAAAAGAAAAAAAAAGTGAGTTCAGAGGTAAAGAATGCAGAGATCTTCAGCCCACAAATGCACCTCTTTGGTTCTCTGCACATCCTAGAATATTTATGAAATGAAGTGGGAAAGTTGAACTTGTTTTTTAAGTATTTGTGTTTCCTTTGCAGTGATATAATGATGAGAGACAATCTCTTTGAAATTGTAACAACTTCTCGAACCTTTTATGTACAGGTAATTTTTCTTAAAACTTCGGGCAAAACCAGGTGACTGACATAGTCAGAGCAAAGCAGTGCTGCCGTTTTGCTTTTTAAGTTGTACGTGAACATGCCATGACTTTTAGAGGGAAAGCGATCTTCATATTTCAGAATAAGTTGCATATAAGAAATATAACACAACACCAAGTGTTGGTAGTATATAAAAGCAATGAACAACAAATCCTAATGTGATGTTGTTATTTGGGTCTTCAAATTCTGTAGTATCAACTCAATATATTAAATATTTTATTTTGTGGAACTGTAATTGTACTCATAGTAATAGATTTCTCAGATTCAAATTAAAATGTGTACCCCATTAAAATATCTGCTAAAGCACTAGAATGCTTAGGCTTCATATCTGAAGATACTGTTGGTGAAATGCATCCATAAGTACTTTATTCAGTGCATCTTTACCATGTTATCTTTTAAATGTGTGGATATAATGCAAATCACTCAGCTAGACAAAGCGAGTCTTTGTGGGAACGTGATGCTCTTAGTACTGTCTCTCCTGTTCCTGGAGGAGGAAATAAACTGAATTTCTCCTGTAGGATCAGAAAGGCCCGTATCATCTAATACAGGCAGTGGGGCCAGATGCTGAGTTTTGAGCTGTTTCATGGCTGAACATAATTAAGTGACATATTATACGTAGTTTTTGCTGGGTTGATGTGCTAGTTTTGTAAAGCTGCCAAATGGTGAAGAGGGAGCTTTAGCTTTTTAATCTGTCCCGGATAAGCTCACCCTTGACACTCGCTGTTAATCTACTGCATTTTTGTAAGACTCTTGTTCTAAGTAAATGTACCGATGACCCTGAATATAGACTGCTTCTTATTTTACTTTAGCTCTTCGGTAATTACCTCATAGAAGTAAGGTGCAAAGAAGTAAAATGAATGAAAAATACGGAAGCTATGTCATTGTGCACAGTTTGCTGAGAGGGGTCAGCAGGTCTCCTGTAAGAATTTCTGTAGGTGCTTTAACTTATTTGTTTAAAATAAGCAAAAATTGAACTAGAATACATGTATGTAAGTTGTGTGTATACACACTGCTTATTTTATAGAAATACATGCATAAAATCTTGCCCTGAATTTACTATCATTAGAAATATCAACATCAAAAAATGCAAGTCCCTTTGGCTTTAAGTAACAGACTACTAAAGTAGGCTAAGGCTGTGATTTTGATGCAGACTGGAGACTGGAAGAGTGAAGAGCTGGTGTTAACCATATCTCATGTTGTTTGATCCAGGCCGACAGTCCAGAAGACATGCACAGTTGGATAAAAGCAATTTCTGGGGCCATTGTAGCACAGCGGGGACCTGGACGATCAGCGGCTTCCGTATGTTACTCTGAAACTTAGAGAAATGCAATTAGTTCATGTTGACTTGTGCACATGAAGTTCTAGTTGTTTTTCCTTTTGTCTGTCCTCTGTCCTGTCCTGTAGTAACATGGCATCTTTGCATGGAATTCATACAGACTGGCATAAATTTATGCACTTTTAATTGAGCACTTATCTTAGTCTTACCTATATATTCTGCTTTATGTGCATTGTACTGTCTTGATCACGTAGATAACACAAGTGCTAACCTATAAAAATTCTTCAAGATCAGTTGGATCTTTTGTCACCACGCCACTAATAGTTCGCAAGTAAAATTGAGCCTTTCTAATTACTGCGAGACGTTTTTGATAATTGCTGAATTTTGCATTCAAGTAACAAAATCCTAATTTGATTTTAACAGCTATCACTATTATACTGTCATTGTCTGTTTTTGATAGTTTATTGTGTATGCAGATACAGATTCACATTTAAAATGATCTTTCGAAGAGAGATCTGCTCGCATGCATTAGCTTTTGCTGTCGGAAGCTCTGTGGGCACCATCTAGCACTGCTGAACTGAGGCACTGTGACAAATCTTACTGTTTCTGAAGCCACGTGGATGCCAGCATTTCATACATACTTGCATTTAAGCTGTACCAGACCTTCACTGCTTTTCCACAAGTTAATGTTCTTTATGCTGAAGGCTACTGCAGTGTCACAGTGCCTCCAAGTATGTCCAGATATAACAAATGGAATACTTCCCAGTTCAGATGCTGCACGGTATGGCTTTTCACTGTTTGGCTGTGGGATGTTTTGTAATAATCTGAATATATCATCACCCCCATAATCTGAAATCTAGTAACTTAAATCTGGCCTTTGAAGATGCACTTTCATATATGTTGTTTCTGGTGTTTGAATCTAAGCTCTCAATTATTTTTTGCAACTGAGAGCTGGTTTTACATAAAACATCCTATTATAAAACTTGCTATTATAAATCTTGTTTTGGGGGTATGAAAATATGCAGGTAACTTTTCTTTGTGTATGCTTTTTTTTTTTTTTGTGGGGCTAACTGAGCAACCTAGCTATTACTGTCTGCATCACTTTTCTTTTTCCCTTTCTTCTCTTCTTTCCCCAAGTATAGGTTACTCTAATCTTAGCTTTGCACTGTGTTCCAGATGCGGCAGGCCAGAAGGCTGTCGAATCCTTGTATACAGAGGTATACATCAAGAACTGGTGAATGCAGCACGTATGTGGGCTCTCATGTAAACTTGCCTTCTTAACAGAGGGCTAGAACTAGAGACTAATTTGCTCTATAAAAAAACTAAAAATAATGCTACCTGTTATCATTACCATTACTGAAAACTAACTCATAAATTATATCATTCACTTACAGGTTTGCTCTTTTTTTCTTGCTTTTAAAATAATTGGAATTAAAGTGATAAAAACAACTATTTGCACTTCAAAGTATAACAGATATTAAAACACAGTAAGTTAATGTAATGTCACTTAAAAAGGAAAGTATTAAAACTAATTTGCATGAGAGTTCATATTTCCATTTTACTTTACATTTTTTTGAAACTGTGCAAAAGCAAAATTAAATTTCAGCTACCCACAAACTAATACAGATGCGTGCACGCAAAATGCACGTCTTAACTCTAGTAATTGGAAGGATAATTCTGTAGCCTGATTTGCATGGCTTATAAGTCTCTGCATGAAATTATTTGTTCATAGAAGCGTTATAATGTGTAATTGGTGTGCTGTTCAAAGCAGTACACCTTAAGAGTAATAAAGCAGCGTAGTCTCTTAACTGTGAAATTACAGGCAGTGTGGGTAGTAAAATCTGAGTATTCTTTGGTTGATTTTTTAATCAATTTTTAGAGATCTTGTCATAACTTCCCTTATTGTTGTCCTACTTGTTCAGCTACAATTACTAATAGAAAGAAGAACAGTAGTAAATCACTACATCATATGTTCTCCTAAAGCAAATGTTTTTCTTAAAGTGAATCATCAAGCCAGGTATGAAATACAGAAATGTGTATATAATGTGAAGTACTTCACTGCATTTGAACTTTAAAATTGAATTTCCAAAAAAAAAAGAACAGCTCCTTCACCCAATAATACTAATTCAAAGAAAAACTACTTTATTATTTGGCTGAAACCACTGTGATTAGATTTTTGAATCACTGACATAGCATTCTTAAAAAAAAAAAAAAAAAACTTGGAAAACTGCTATTGAGAAAGAAAACAGGTATTTCACTTAGGATTTATATTTGCATCTTGGACACATCTGTGATGGGATTTTGCTAATCATGTGCTGAAAAGTGGCTCGATTTCTGTGCACACATGGTTTCCCAGATTGAAGTTTCATGTACTAACACTGGTGATGGCAGAAGTGGCAGTAGCTACAGCTCCTAATACGTGCAGAGTGAAGTATTTGGTGCATCTCTGCATGTCATTCTGATCACATCATTTAACGTAGCATCCTGTGCTGTCTTAGATGCCCCCAGGTATCTGAGACATCCTTACAGAGCTGATAGGTATGGTGCAGAATATGAGAAATCTTCTTTCCTGGAGATACAGCTGTAGGTGAGGCAGGATATCCTAATGTCGTGATCTAAAGGGGTATCTGGCCTGTGGGTGTATAGAGGTCACCACAGTGGTTTGCAGGATTCCAAAATACACAAGGATATAGAGACTTTATTTTCTAAAGATTTGTGATTATTACAGATCACCAAAGATCTTTAAGATCTGAGAGGTCACCTCAAGGGGTCTAGTTAAGAAAACCAATCTCAGAGGAGACCAACCAGACCCAAAGTGGGCTCTGAAAGGGGTCTGAGGTAGCATAGTTTGAGTGCAGAGTCGATTTACATCATGGGGTATGGAAGGTTTAGAAGTGAGTCTGAAAGTCAGGAGTCAACCTGATGTTCCAGCAAAGATTCAACATGTTTAGAGTAACCAAGAGAAGCAAGAAAAGAGGCAGCTCTTTTTCAGAAAGAGACAGCCTCCATTTTGGGTAAAATCTGGGGCCTTTTTTGTATTATTTAGACGTAAAAGGCTGTAGGATAGCAGCACCAGATTTAGGACGTGAGTGCCTGTTGTATGTAAATGATTAAATACATTTCTTTCTCTGAAAAATGTCACTGTCAGTAGCCTTTTAAGTGCACATCTTCAAATGGTAACTTAAGATACTAATGAAATGACAAGCCTCAATTTGCTGCACTACATTATAAAGTCTAAAGAGCTGCTGAGCTTGATTTGAGAATTTAATTCCGTAAAATGAAGAGAATGATGTTGCTGTCACATACTGCTGTAAGCTCACACTTAACACACTGCCTTGAGAAAGCACTTGCCTCCTCCTGCTGTGGCTGTTGCTTTGCTTTGTACATTTCCTGTCTTGATTTTTTTCTGGGAGAAATCTGAAGCTGCATCTTTCTGAAGTGATGTCAGGGACTTAATTTGACGCGTGCTCTTCTTTTCCAGGAGCATACCGAGTCTTCTCCCGAACCCACCGATGCTCCCCGTTCTGCCGTCCCAGCCCCAGCCACCTCACATTCCACAGTCGCTCACAACAGCCCTCTGGTCCCAAACCCTCACGCCAAATACCCTGCCTTGGAGAAGCGAGGATTTCACGAATCTTTTACCAAGGCCAAGCCAGGGAGCTACAAGATCCAGGTTGTCGCTCCAAGAGAATCAGCTGCCAAAGTGACTGAACAGGGCCTCTCGGAACCCCAAAGTAAAAATGGCACTCAGGAACAGGATCCTGGCCTTGTGGATCTGGATGATGCAAGCCTTCCAGTTAGCGATGTGTAGTGTTGGAAGTGTTTGGAGAATGATCCATGTGTTCGGTCCTCTAATTTCCTTACTCGGACTTTTAACCAAAGAAAATTACAGGAAATAAGAACAAAAGAAAAAAAAACAAACACTGATAAATACATATGTAGGTGTGTGTTTATGTACACACACGTGCATATATATGTTTGTATATTGCCTTTTGGCTAAGGGTCAAAAATTGACCTTATGCATTTTCTCAAAGCCTGATAGTAAATCACCAGGGAGGGGCCAAACTGCACAATTTAAAAGGAAATAAATGACAAAACAACCCCAAAGTACTTCTGCAAGTAAGCAAGGTACCAGCAACTTTTCATTCCTAATCTGGCAAACTAAATTAATCCAATTAATGCTATGTTGTGGAAACCTTATTGCCAACAGATGTGATTATTTAACTTCATTCTGAACTACAGTAAGATTTTATGCATATGCAAGAATTTTCTCTCTGACTTTCAGATACCAGGAAATGCACAAAATGTTTCCTCTGTTCTTTAGGATCAACAGTGTCAACTGAATTGTTATCAGAACAAGAATTCTGGGCTCCCTTGGAATTCTAATTATGGTGCTGTAAAATTTCCACTAAAATAATATTTTGAATAGTCATTCTATTTTTGATGCACTCCTAAAGGTGGGTTATAACTTTTTGCACATTTGGGTTTTAATGGACTGCATGTAGTGGTGTTTTGGAGGGGGGAGGAGAGAAATTGGACTCTTAAATTTGGACACTTTAGACCTTTTTGAACTAAATAGGGTTTATATTGTGTTACATTAGGCTTTGCAGCAATTATTTTTATTAAATGTCTAAATGTATCGTTTGATTACTGTTTTGCAAATGGTTTTCTTATCAGTGCTTTGTGAACAGTTAGTTATTTCTGTATGGGATCAGTGGAAGACCTCAGTTTTGTTGTCACTGGTACTGAACTGTTCATAGTCCTGCGGTTGTGGCCTATAACTTTTTGGTGCACTAATAAAATTAAGTGCCTGTGTTTTTTCTCACACTGTTGAAACACTTTCAGATTAGGTATGTACACAAACCCGTTCTTAATGGCTTTGAACGTTGGGTTGGAGTTGTTCTGAATAGTGTAGTCTGAAACAGCTATTTAAAATAGAAAAATGATGCTAGGGGTATACCAGTGGTCTGGTATTGCACCTACTAGCTGTGCAATATGTTTTTTTAAAAAATGAATATTTGTTGTTTGTGTACACTGTGTTAAGGGGCTTCAGTGATGCAAATGGAGAGAACCTTTACATTTCAAGTACTGGATTAGATTGAGTGTGTACTTTTCATCGTTTTTAAAAAAATGTTTGTTTTAATCGAAACCCCAGAAATATCCTTATGCTGCTGCTTATTGTGATTCAGATTGTCCAGCTTTGTTACTTTTTTTTTTGTCTACTGTAACTGAAGATACATATCATCCAAGTCCATCTTCTCTCCAACTTCCAAACTGACTTCCTGCTCGAGAGATACGGATGGCTTTACCATGATAATTTGTTGATCCAAGGATGGAATAATTGGTGTCATGTGAGAGTGAAATGTAATCTAATTTCACAACCTTAAATTATATCAGCACCTTCATTTTTTTATCCATAAGCTATCTAACCACAGTCTCACGGCAGTGGTGTTTGTATATTACTGGTTTTGTTTGACTCTTTAAATACATGTGAAAACTAGTACGGAATTGGAAGTTTCTGTAAATGTCTAAACTAGTATTGTAGGTTTTAACTTCTAAGACAAAACAATAGCTCTTTAAAGGCATATTTTTTCACAAGTACATTCTGTGTGGAAGACACTTTGCATTGAAATATTTTTACTGTAGTCTAACATCTGAAATCACTCGCTCTGGTACAGCTTTCACACTGCATGTTCATTTTACTATATTTTGGTATTGGCAATTTTACACATTGGGTGGAGGTAAAGCAGCTCCATTATGGGACTTTTAAAAGGGGTGGGGGGGAGAACTACTGTTGTAGTTCAGTAGCATAGGGAAATATTTGTGGTTGGTAATTGTCAGGGTCTCCTATTTATCAGTACTTTTTTAAATCTATGAAAATTGTTAAATTATTTTAGAAACAGTGCTGTAAATATGTCACATTTAAATTGTCAATAAATCAGTTTGGGTAACTTAAAGTAACAGCTGACTCTGTTTCCTTGTAGTGCATTACATGTTTTACCAGATTAATATATCCCTTTTTGCCGTATAACAGGTCAAATTATCTTTTTCACTTTTCAAATCAGATCTGTTTATGTAGCCTAAGAAAAAAAAAATGAACAAATTGAGCTGTTTTACTCTTCTCAGTTTCTTTTGTGGAGTTTTCACAAGGTATACAAGAGAAAGCTGTTCGTTTCCCTTCTTGATCAATAGTAGGGAAGAGGTGGTGTGTAATCATTTTCAAGTTAACCATTTGGAAGCACTTGAGACCCTGTCTGAGACTGGGGAACAGCAAGAGAAGAAAACGTAATGTGCCTTTTTTCCTGGCTTTATACTGTAGCATAACAAAATTTCTCTCAGAAACGCTTTCCTGAAATAACTGCACCTCCATGACATCTGGAAGCAGCTCATTGTACAGTAGATAGGACAGCACCACCCTTGTGACTGAACTTCAAATCCAGTTTTCTCTTTTAAGTGGATCAGTGTCTCAGTGGTATGTGAATTTCAGTTGATGTTTCAGTAAGGCCTTTGCTCTATCAAGTTAGATACACCATGCTGAGTGCAGCAACACAATTTATTCTTAGTAATAAATGTCAGAATAAAATACAACCACTGGCTGCAGCTCACTCATTTTGACTGAGCTGAAATGCCACTTCTAGTTCATCTGTCTTACTGGGTGCTTTTCTGCTGTTTAGCTTTCAGCTTCTTTATCCTCTAATGATTCTCATAAATATCTTATTTTTTTTTCACAGGCTGAGACCTGATCCATGGTCACTGAAATGACTTGGATGTGTTTTACTACAGGCTATCTTGCATTTTTCATCTGTTAAAAATTTGGTGTTGTCCCTTTATTGAAGAGGGAATTGAATTATTCTTTATGGCTATAAATTTCTGTAAGCTTCTCACTGTAATATGGTGGGTTTGATTCAAATGCGTTTAAGGCATATGATGTACATACTGGTCCTGAATGTAGTTTAATATTAATTGTCATATGCCTCAACTCCTGCAATAACAGGGTGTCAGCACCACCTAGAGGTCATACTCAAGCTTTTAAAGTGATCTGACTTGGGCTTTTATTTTAAGTGTATTTCTGAATGTTAAAAATCTTTGAAACTCCACTTGTTAAGTCGTGGAAAAAAGGCTTTACAAACTTTTTTCTCCTGGTAAGCTTTGAGTAGAGCAATGGCAGCAAACCAGCTGAAGACAAAATATCCCTCTTCCTGCCCCACTTGTTCACAGCACCAACTTACCCCTGTGCAAACCATGATGTTGTAGGAACAACGTGAATAGCCTAGGACCTTGTGCAGTAAATAGTGCCGGCGTGAGGTTTCTCGCAATGGTGCTGACTGTGGAAAGCAACTCCAGGCAATGATATGAATCAACAAATAGTCAAAAATAGAACAGAAGGAATTAAAGAACTATGCAAGTATGAAAAGCAAATTCCCTAAATTAGCAAAACCCAAACCGCAGCATTAACGAAATACATCGGTCTTAAATAACCCATGCTTCCCTGTGACAAACCAGTTCAGGAGAGGCCTGTTGCTAATAGCTAGATAGTAATCAGCTCTGGTAAGAGTAGCCTTTTGAGAAAAAAGCAAATATACTACAAAATGTGCACTTTGAAACCACTAATTCATGCTTGTAAGGCGTGTACATGTCTAGCCGTGCAAGGCAGTGAACTGGGACAGGTCGCGATCTGAGCTGGTTGGCTTCAATTACTGATGCATAAAAACTCCAGAATGTCACTGGGAAACTGGTTAAAACGCTGTGGCTGCTCAGAAGGACCTGTGAGGGGTCTCATCCAAGCACAACCTCAATCTGCCAGGCTAGAGAGTGGTGTCTGCTGCTGGCAGCAGGTGAGGAAACGTGGCCTGGTGTGTGTGGCGTGGGCAGGCCGGGGCTATCGGGGCTGCAGGTGGAGGGCTGAGGCCCAGAGAGTTTGGAACTTCCTTCTTTCTCCTTACTGAGCTGCTATTTTTATCAATTTTACTCTTTTTGGTTTTACAACTTTGAATTTTTATGATTGTATTCTGAGGGACTTTGGGTGGTAAAAAAACAATTGGTACAAAAGTTAAAAATAGATGCTGCATCACAGAGAATCCTCCCTCATAAAAAGTGACTATTAATGGAATATGTTGATACACAAATGCTAATATTTTAAGCTTTATAGGAAGCCAACCTTATAAGGGATATAGAAGTCAGCACCAAAAAGTTCACTCTGAAGCTGTGGGACAAATATTACTGTTCTTAGCCAGATCAACTATTTTTCATTTGAGGCTGAGGAGAGGGATGAAAGAAAGGGAACTTGGGGATTTTTTAGATTAAAAGCATAAACAAAATTTAAAAGATCGTCTTGATAGCTCTGTGCTATGAGCAGTTTTCAGTTTTTCAGGTGTGCTGGATGTTTTAATTTCCATCTGTATCTTGGAGCACAATCTATGCAACCACTGATGCCCTGAGCCAGCGAGCTGCTGGAGCTCTCCTGGGGTGTTCCACCGAAGCGATGAAGGCTGGAAAAGTGAAATGTGAGTCCAACTCCACAACCAAATCGTGGCCCACGTGTCCACCTTGGGTTTTTCACTTCAGATTTTCTGTGCAGAATCTGGTGGGAAGGGAAAAAAGGAACTACTACTCCTTTGTAAAGGTAATTAATGGTGTAGCAGTAATTGCCCTTCAAAGCGGCACCTTTGACATTTTAATTTAGGGCTTTGCATTTAAAACATCTAACAACACTGTCATTCTGCGTATCTGTATGCAAGGTGAACCCACCTTTTAAGAATTTAAACCACTCTGTTGCACTGCATTCCCAAGGCCACCTTTCTCCTGCTAATTGAGCCATCAGGAAGCTCAAATGGTGTCTGTAGGGTCCTGGCTGGGACCCTTTGTCCTGCTCTAGCCTTAACCCCTGCCACGTGGACTTTCTCATCCTTTAACCTCTTTTTCCTTGTTCCCAGATGCTGACTCCAAAGCCACCTCCTTGCCCCCATGCAGGAGCCGTGTAGGAACCCTGCTGTGAGAGCTGCTGCCCTGTGCTCCCTCCTACAGGCTGCCCCCAGGCAGCAGCTCTACCCTGAGGTGCTTTGCTCTTCCCAAAACCGAGCTTTCAAAGTCAGTAAATGATGCAGTTCGGTTATCACCCGAGTATCTTTATGGGCGTTGAGGAAAACTTGCTTTCATAATAGGTGAGATAAGGCTTACTGTCACCTGCAGGACTGGCTTTGCTGTGGGGCAGGAGATCCACAAGGGCTGGGCTGGGATGTCAGGGGCAAATTGGGGATCCCTATCAGCAGGATCAAAGCCTGTGCTCCTTTAGAGGATCTCATGGCATTTGATCTCTCGGGTGGAGTCTCCTGCCATTGAGTTCCATTTGAAAAGCAGGAGCTGACACAATTTTACTTGTAAGTCTCCCAGGTGTAAGCACCTCTGAGTACTGATAGGTGTCTCCTGGCTTTGGAAAGCTGTTTTGTGTGAAAATGTTACCATAAGGGGGAGAAATAACTTCTAGGTGTATAGGGCCTTTTGCGTAGTTGATGCAGATGGGTAATTAAGAAATTTGTCAGCTAGCTAAAATATTAAACCCCTAGAGTTTATCTCTCATTCTGGAAAGGAAGGTGTTTTCAGTCCTGCGTGCATCCATGTGAAACCTCTAAAATTCACATACTAAAACCTAGGTTTTTAATACTTGGTACACATCCTTCCCTCGTTTAAAATAAAAATAAAAGCTTGAGAGCTGAAAGTCATCAGTATTGTCCCACTTATTTGAAAGCAAACTGCTTTCCAAGTTCGTGCTTTCCACACAGGACCTTGGATGGATTCTGATTTCTTTGGTGTGGTGTTGAACCCTTCCCTGGCTCCCCATCAACAAAGGCACTTCCCATTTCTGTGCTACTCATGTAAGGAAAAATACTGGCTGGTGCCTTATGGTCTGTAAAAGAGCTTGAGGCTGATAGTGCTGGCACAACCTGTGGAGAAATGTATGTTATGGGAAAGAAACGGATACAACTGGTGTTTCAAACGTTTGTGCAAGCACACTTCACACTTGTAGTAGCTCTTGAACTAGTTCAACATTAGGGTTAAGATTTGTAAACTTTCTAAGCTGAAGAGTTAAGCGAACACTTCGTGCTTTCATTGACCAACTTACCCTCACCTGAGGCAAGGGTTTTGAACTGGGACATTGACTTACTAAGTTATAACTATTTGGAGTGTGTTTCTGTCAGCAGGGTGCTGGTTGAAGTGCTCTGGGGTCTGTCCCTGCCCAGGGGTATGAGCATCCAGGCAGAGAGGATGGCAGGACAAGGAGCTTTCACGCTGCACAGTTTTCTCCTACCTGCCAAGATAAGGCTGCTGCAGCTTCAAACAGCTCTTGTAAGTCATCAGAGGCAACATGATGGGAACACAGATGGCCTTTCTGGGTGGGGACAGCCCATAGGAATTCCCTGCTTGGGCTTTGCTGAGTGTCTTGCTCGTGCTTATGCAGTCTTCTCTAAATTGTATTGCCAATGTGTTTGTGCTGGTAACTGTTCATCTTCCCTTAAAGTCTTGTTTTTTATTTCAAAAACTGAAGTTTATCAAAAGTAGCTAATAAGCAAGGGATATATAAATAATATCTTGTGAATAATTTACCAAAATATCTAATATATATATATGCACATATATGCGTACATTTAAAATATTTGTAAGTATTTTTGAAATTTCTTTAGACTTTTTAAACGTAGTAACGATTCTAATAACCCAAGTGAGGAAGTTTTGCTGCAAACTGCTCCAGATGACAATTTTGGTCACTCTAAAATCAAACAATTCTCCTGAAATCTCTCTTGTTGTGCAACATAGGAGTTACTGGGAAACAGCAACCGTAAGGGGATTTGTCTGGGGATGCTGGAGTCGATGTGCTTTTCTACCTTCAGATAACCAAGCATCCCAGTAAGTACATCAGTGCTTTTTGTGGTCAGTTTGTTAAGATTTTGTGAGATTTTTGTTAGACT